GCTCAAAGGCTGTGTTGTTAGCGCAATGGATAGAGCGCTCAAAGGCTGTGTTGTTAGCGCAATGGATAGAGCGCTCAAAGGCTGTGTTGTTAGCGCAATGGATAGAGCGCTCAAAGGCTGTGTTGTTAGCGCAATGGATAGAGCGCTCAAAGGCTGTGTTGTTAGCGCAATGGATAGAGCGCTCAAAGGCTGTGTTGTTAGCGCAATGGATAGAGCGCTCAAAGGCTGTGTTGTTAGCGCAATGGATAGAGCGCTCAAAGGCTGTGTTGTTAGCGCAATGGATAGAGCGCTCAAAGGCTGTGTTGTTAGCGCAATGGATAGAGCGCTCAAAGGCTGTGTTGTTAGCGCAATGGATAGAGCGCTCAAAGGCTGTGTTGTTAGCGCAATGGATAGAGCGCTCAAAGGCTGTGTTGTTAGCGCAATGGATAGAGCGCTCAAAGGCTGTGTTGTTAGCGCAATGGATAGAGCGCTCAAAGGCTGTGTTGTTAGCGCAATGGATAGAGCGCTCAAAGGCTGTGTTGTTAGCGCAATGGATAGAGCGCTCAAAGGCTGTGTTGTTAGCGCAATGGATAGAGCGCTCAAAGGCTGTGTTGTTAGCGCAATGGATAGAGCGCTCAAAGGCTGTGTTGTTAGCGCAATGGATAGAGCGCTCAAAGGCTGTGTTGTTAGCGCAATGGATAGAGTGTAGTAAGCGCCAGCGTATTTAGCGGTCGCCCTTTATTAAGCGGTCAGTGTTTAAAGGTCCAGAAAATTTTTGCCTTAATAACAGTAATTTTCACATCTATTGAGAGGTCGTGGCCACCCTTGATTTAGTCTGAACGACCTTCAACTGTATTTAACGGTCACTTGGGTGGAACCACTCAGATAAGACTAAGCATAACTTTTCGAGTAAAATTTAATCCATTTTTATCTCCCGAAATCAATGTTAGTTGTATCTTTGGGCGAGTTTTTGTACATTTACTAGTCCATTATGGCATAATATGGTGTTTTCGGTCAGTTTGGGTATTACCCCTATTCCATGGGATCTGTATTAAACTATTCCCCATTCCTACAGGTTCGACTGTAGTCCTATCAGGGAAAGCAATGCGGTTGATCTTAACAAGATTGAAAAGAACGAAAACAAATACGACCAAGAAACACCAATGATTACTAAATCCAGATCAAACCCATAGATTTACATTGCCGGTTGTGTAGCAACAGCTGTTATTTACCTTGTTTTCGTAGGGTCGGCACGGAGCTCCTGGGAGTCTTGGTTTGCCAGGAGTACGTGGACTAAAGGTAAAGGGGAGCTGAATGACAAAAGCTTCATTTTAAAACTTGAGATCCATAATCATGTTGACTGAAGACATTTATACCTCCTTGATTTTTCTTTGCAGGGAAAACAAGGCCATCCTGGAGCACAGGGCCAGTCTGGTCGTGAAGGAGATCAAGTGAGTGAGTCTTTGATATGATCAGTCATAATCACAATACACGACCAGCAAGGACAAGTAAACTACACTCTTCTTTCACAAGGTAGCCTTCGGAATGTTCCACTCTCGTTTGGAAAACTTCCCACCCAGAATTAGCTCGATTATACCCTCAAGACTCCCTCAGGGTGATCTTCCTAGGATTAGAAGTTAAAGACAGAACTAAAAGGAAAGGAAATCAGAAGCTTTCTATTGAGATCATGTCACTGTCATAGCAAAGAGTTCTTTAAGTATTTTTTAAATCAAGCAACTAGCTATTTTCACTTATCTAATACATTGACAGTCACCTGTGCTGCGTAATCATCAGGATAAGAGCAGTCCTGACATGGACAGTTGTCGTTTTCAGTGACTGACGTTCGACGACGAGGGAGGAAGTCAAGTGAAGTGTTGTTTAACAAACTACAAAAAATCCAAAAATCGAGTGTTATTTATGTTATTTTCAGAACAATTATTATTCATACTGTTACCACTAAAACAATCTATCAAAATTCTTCTTGTGCTGAAAGATATTTTGGTTATGTTGACAGGGAATACCTGGTGGGCGTGGCATGACTGGAAAAGATGGATCCCCTGGTGTTATGGTAACATGTCGCTATCTTTTCCTTTGATGTAGTTGCTTCACCATTTCAAGTTGTTCTTTCGTAATCAGGGTTTACAAGATATCGCAGAAAGCCTCCTGATTAACGTTTACACATGTCAAACATGGTGCAAAAATTATTCACTGGCGGGATTAAAAAGGATTCCACCGCTATCAGTGTTGTTCTTGGTAAATTTGACAAACTCTAAAATGATAAATGACCTCATAATCATACTTTTGTCTGTACATTATGATTTTGACTTCTTACACCGTAACTTTGAGACATGTTGTGAAAAGTAACTTTGGTTCTTTCCAGGGCCCCATTGGTCACCGAGGAAACAGAGGAGAGCGCGGCACTAAGGGAACCAAAGTAATCAACATGTTGATTGCTATCATGATTGGTTCGAGTAACTTGAAAGTGCTGTTAAAGACGTGGTCAATTCTTACTTACTTTTATTAACAATCATTATATGTGAGAGTATCTCTAATGTGGAGTATGTGCGGGTGAGCTTTCGCTAAGAAACATGCAAACATCAGGAAGCTCGATAAAATCAAGATGGCAAACAAATTTCTCAGACATAATACATGAATATTTTCTTTTGGAATAGAAGGCTAGCATAATAACTCTTTAAACAAGGACAGACGGCATTATCGATCAATATTCGTTCCTTTCCTTGATAGGGTGGAGAAGGACGGACAGGATCTGAAGGATCGCCCGGTCGTTCTGTAAGCAATCATCGTGCTAAATGACGGTGAACGTTATCTAAGTGTTAAGCATTCGTTTTGGTTACTTTCATTGATAAATTTCATTCATTTTGATTTGAGCACGTGTCCCTGACGATGTCGACCGATCTTTTGATTGAAGAAACAAACAAACTAACTTACGAATCAAAATGAAACGAAGAAAAGCAAAGCAAAGGAAAAAGTTGGATAGGAGAAAACATGTTAAGTTTGAGCGTTTCATAGTTATCCTGCCTTAAAGTATAGCTATGCACTCTTTCATAGGTATTTAAAGGTAAAACCTGGTAATCTAGATGCATGTCTATACTACGGAACTGATCATCGTTGTAGCGATAAAGCGAAACAAAAGTTCCTCTCGTCTGAGAGGTAGGAAGTTCTACGCTTAGAAACTTTTACAAAATAACCCTTTTTTGTCTTGAATCCAGGGCCCCCGAGGGCGGCAAGGTAAGCTGGGCAGAGGAGGAACGCCTGGAATCCCTGTGAGTTTGAGACACCTGACTAACTTATTGGGTAGTCTGTGTTTAGTCGATGTAGGTGAAGAAAAAAGAAAACAGATGTGGACCTCACTACACCTTCAAGTGCTGCGTGACGTAAACTTCTAACTTCCAGCTAGAAAAACGATACTAATAGCGTGGCTATAAAAATATGTTGTAGAGAAAAGTCCCGGATAATGGCTGTGATAATGATTTCAATGGGAATGGTTACAGCTAAAAAAAAAAAAAAAACACATGCTCATTTCTTTATCTTTTCCATTTGCTCGCAGGGAGAACTTGGAGACAATGGTCGGCCTGGCAGACAAGGGGAGGCTGTAAGTTTAACCTAAGATTGCAATTCGAAGCATGATAAAAACATCTTTGCCTGTTGTGGATTGGTAACTCAATTAATATGAACAATAATTATACATGTTATGCAATTTTAGGGTTCGGCTGGTGCGCTAGGACTCATGGGATTGACAGGGAAAAAAGGACAACGGGTAAGATGAACCGCTTGTCCCGCTGGATTCAAGAAAAAGTCTGTTATCTTTTAAGTCTTTGGAGCCGTCCTGGGAGAAAAAGAGAGTGTGATAAGTAGCTAAGGATCTTTCAAATGCTAAAAACCATAGCGATGAAGAAAACATATCAAGAGTTTGAAGTCCTGCAACATTTATTTGCATGTCTTAAGCTAGCGATTGATCAGAATCAATGATAGATCAATAACAGTCATGGCTTAGGTTTTCATTTACATTTGATTTTAGGGTCCTCAAGGAAAACCTGGAACACCTGGTTTGTCCAACAAAAGTGGCCCAAAGGTAATAAGCAGCACTGAGGTTTCAGTAAGGAAAACTCGAAATATCAAGGGATGTTGAGGAGCCTCGTCCCATTCCCCTATGTTTAACATAATCAGACTACTCATTTATAGCATCTTTGTCTAGGGAAACAGGGGTACAGCTGGGGAGCCAGGCAAAGTAGGAGTCCCTGGACCGATGGTGAGCCTTCGTATATTCACTGATAGATTATCACTCAGTGATTGTTATCCTCCTTTATCATTGGTATCATGAATAAGCATCTGTGTTAGATTCAACAGTTAACAAAGGAGTTTTATTTCCTACTAAGATGCTTTCTTTCATCTCTGTATCTACACACCAAATTAGAACTTTCTTTTAAAACGCCTTTAAATAATGTTATCCTCGCTTCTTGATACACAATCACAAAGCACAAAGAAGTTTTCTCGCAGACAATTGTATTTAGATAAGGCCATTTGGAAACAACGCAAAAGCAGTGGCAAGAAAAATAATATGCTTAAAGAGATCCCCTCCAATGTTTTTTAAAGGATATTTTAAGGTTTTTAGAACTATCCACAACACGAGGGGAAGTGGGAAGAAGTAAATGCTTCCCAAGGTGAGAACTGAGACTGCAAGGAAGTCTTTTCATTTTAATTGATCGAAACTTTTTAATGATATTCCTAATGGAATGAAGGATGTTAACTCAATCATTATTTTTAGAACTCGTATTCTAGAATTCTATAGATCACAAGCTTTTTAATTACTTTTAAAGTTGGTGACTGTCTTTAGGTTTTTTTGTTTTTGTTGCAGGGCCCTTATTGATATCATCCTTTTATGCTGAAGAGGTCACCCTGGTTAAATAACATTTATTATTATTAATAACAACATGCCTGGTTTTTAGGGTCGAGCGGGATCTGGTGGTGAAACAGGAGAACAGGGGCTTCCTGGTGACATGGTAGGCAGCTGCATTTGAATGTTTCATATCATGTCAATTAATTATCGTTATTATTACTTGCGTGTAAGAGCTGAAGTCTCATTAAAAAAATCCCAGTTGAGCGCACATTCACAACCAAGTATAACCACCATTGTTACTATTTCAATAAACATGATTTTTATCATTATTATTAACAAATGGTAAACACCACAGCGTACACTATTGAGTTATGGATGCACGCGGGAGGTTGCTAAGCACGAAAGCTATTCCCCAT